TACTTAAAAATAATAGATATACATTCTAAGATAGTATTTTATTCAACTTAGAATGACTATTGCTAAAAAGAGTAAAAACACTTAAAACAAAGTTAAGAACAAGAAAAGTACTGATAAGAATGAAGAAAGCCTAGTTCTTACCTTAATATATAAAATTTAATTACAAGCTACATAGCAATGTTCTTTAAAACCTCCAATACATGTGCAATTTGCATGACATGTCTCTAACTTATGAAACAAGTTTCTTACATGTGCAATATATGGACAACTTGTTAATCAAGTTTTTAACCTATAAGTCACCTACAAATAAGTATGAAGTCAAATTTTCATCTATAAAGCTTCTAAAAAGCTTCTCCATATGATGTTATCAAATTCATTTATTTCTAATTATTTCTATCTAATTCGTATAATTTAGATAAATATGTAGGTCCGTGATATTATCTTCCATTTTATGAATGAATTTTACAAAGAACAATGATCAAATGTTAAAAAAGTCCAAGATATGAAAATTTTTATTTGTTACATATTTTAAACTTTATTTCTTTTAAAGGTAATTGGTAGGTTTTTTTAACCATTAATAGTATCTCACATTAAAGTAAAAAAATTATCTAATTATTTAATCATTATTGAGGGCTTTATAACTTCCTTCAAATAAAACATTTGAAATACCATCTAGAATAGTTCTTACCTCTAATAATATTACCAAAAATTGAAAGTCTCTTTTAAAGTTGTAATACTAAATATGTTTTATTTTAGTATTCAATGAAGAAAAAACATGTTTTTTTTTAAGATCTTTATCATTATTATGTCATCTTGAAGGTTATAAAAATCTCAATGTCTTGTCTTATAACTTAGCAAATAATAGCTCCTAAATTGAATCTAGTGGTTATTCATTCTATATATCTTTAATGCTATAAATATATAAAAATTATGAATACGAATAAAAAATAGAATATAATCTTCACTAAATTTTATTTTATTTATAACAAAAAATTGCTTGACTATTCATCTTGACTTTGATGGATGTCGTCAATAATAAGCATCAATCTTCTTAATTACATTTATAAGATTATTAACTAGTTTCTATTTATCTTCACTAATATCATATCCATACTAATGTACAAAATATTTAAACTTATTTTGGTCCTACTTTGAGTCTAAGACTTCTTTAACCTCAATTTTTTTATTATTTTTTTATTTTTATAAGAAAAGATGGTATTTAATTTCTTCTTGATATACCCTTTATCTTATATGATTTAAAAAGGGGCATATAGAACAAGTGATGGAACTTTATAGACTTTAATGTATATTTAAAAAGTAATTGAATTGATATAGTTATAAATAAAAAATGGTCAAAGTCTATAGTAATCTAACTTGTCACCAAATCAAATATTTTTGACATTATAACAATGTAATTATATTGTGTCACCAATGAGGAATTAAGATTGTTCCTTGTAATAGAAATTTGTATTGGTCTTTTGTTTTTTTTAAGTTTTTTTTAATTGTAACTTTAGTATTGCATATAACTTTGATGAATAATTTGCTAATTTTTTTGTCACATGATTATCAACTTTTAAAAGTCAAATGCATCAAATTATGGATGATAGCCATAATTAATATATAATAATAATTATTGGATAAAATAATATATTATTTTATTTTAAAAAAAAAAATAAGTTTATAAAATTAATAACAAGGAATTTTTATCGTAAACTAATAATGTATGATAGTATAAAATCTTTAATTGCATTCTACATTTGAAGCCACCAAAAATCTCTTGATGTTAATTCCAAAGTCATATTATATCAAAAATATCATATACTTAATATATCATGATGAATTTATAGAATATATAATTATATTTCATCTTTTTAAATATATAAGTATCTTTTGAAATAAAATAGATTGTTCTAGAACTCAAACTTAGAAATATTATGAGATTTAGAAAGATTATTTTTAATATCATAAATAAAAATATTTGAGGTTAAATGATTTAATTTCTTAAAAAAATGTTGAATCAAGAGTCAATATTAATTTCATTTTTGAAACATGAAATTATTCTTACTTCAAAAGATTTATTTTTTTTTGAATAAAATTTATATATTTTTTCCTCTGATACAAGATAAAAATGTCTAAAAAAAGATGTTTGACAAATCACAAATAAAAGAAAATGACAAACTTCACCTTACAAATTTTAATTTCAAAAAAAATTCAATAGTTGAAATCAACTGCAAGATCCATAAAAAAGAGCATTTTATAATTGAAGATTCATTTCAAAAATGGTGCTATTACCTAGAAGGCACTTCTAATCCAATGACTATTCATACAATGTCTATTGTCAATGTAATACAAGATTGGGACTGTTGTATGAACTTGAGTTGTGTCAAATACACACTTTTTTTTGTCTTGGTATATAGTCATAATCTCTAAGTATTTGTAATACATAACAAACATAAATTTTATGTTATTTTTTGTTTTTAGAATAGATAAAAATACTTTCTAAATAATAGACAAAAAAATCATATATATTTTTTTAAACATTATTCATTCAATGTTGAAAAGCAATTAGTAGATTTGTGAGTCCAAAAAGCATGACATTATATTCAAAATGTTCATATATGATTCAAAAAAAGTTTTAAATTTTTTTTTTTTTTTTAATACATACTAAGTTGTATATTTTTTATAGGTCTATTTTTATATAAATTTTTTCTCAATTTAATCGATCAAGAAGTTTTAATATCAAAAATAGAGAATAAACATTTTTGATGGTGGTCTTATTGAATCTTTAATAGTCCACTTACATTTGCAATGATTTGTTATATTTTTTCACAAATAAGATAAGAACTATTTTTAGAAATTTTGAATGATATATAAGGTTATTGACAAAGTTTTTATCATTGCATACTAATCAAATTTAAGTACTATCAAATTTAAGTAGAGGCAACTTGATTTAAGACAAGTTACAAATTGATCTAACTTAATCCAAATAGTCATTGAGTTTCAAAAGATTAATTAAGTAATTATAAGAATAATGCTTTAAAAAAATATTCATATTTTTTTTCAAAAATATCTTAATAATTCTTATATTGATTCAAAATGTCGCTTGAAGTCTTTTCAACATTAGAAATAGATGTGGTATAAATAGCAAAAATTGAATCTTCTTTTACAGCATGTATAAAAAAATTTGCATCTCATAATAAGAATTTAGATGTTTCAAAATTATCACTTTTTACTTAAATAACAAAAGTCTAAATTACATCATAGAAAAAATCAAGATTAGAAGAAATAAAGTCTATGCAAAGTTTATACTTCTCTAGCCTTAATAAACCTAAAATGACTAGGTTAAAGGAAGATCTAATAACATTAAATATTAAAAGTAATTATAACCATTAGTTTCTATGACTATAAGAATAGTTTCATAAAAAAACATCTCTAGAAAGAAAAAAAAAAATAGCCATATACAACTATTAAATATATAAACTTAGTTTTTATTATTATTATAATTTTTTGTAATAAAGACTTTTTATATAAAGTAAGTTGATGTTGCTAAATCTAATAAATTAGAGACTTTGTAATCTTGCTTTACAATAGCCGTGCAATTTTTATTATAGTTGAACAAACTTATTTTCCAATATAATGTCATCTTTAGTAACCATGTTTTTTATTTTGTGATTGCATTACTTCTTTAAATAATGTTGAACAATATAATTAGGTTCTCTACAATATAAGTATAAACTTTCTTAACAACATTGAATCTTTTTTTGCTTAGTAAGAGATTTATAGCATATCATATCAATTTATATAGATTTTGGCTTTAATAAATAAATTTCAAAAAACTTAGGAATCCTAACTTGACTTGTTTCTATCTAACTAAATTTTTGTTCTTTGTGTTTTTGAAATATTCATTATTGCATGCAATGGCCTAAGCAATAAATTTTTTTAATAAATTTTTTTTGGCAATGTTAATAATAAGTCTTTAATATTATCTTTTAATCTAAATTAGAATTAATTAATAAGGGCTTTATTATTCTAATTGACGTTGCAAGCCAAGTTTTGGAATTCAATAGTATATGTAATAATTGATTGTGATTATTATTATGAAAATAGAAGTTTCATATTTGCTATTTTTTTTCAATTATTTTTTAAAATATGGCTATAAATATTTCTAAAAATAAATTTACATCGTATAAGAGTCATGAATTCTTTTTCATCAAAGATATAAATAAAAATTAAAAAAAATTAAAAAAAGTACTTCCAGATACAAATATATCTATGAATCCAACTCTTGTCAAAAATAGATGGTGGTAACTTTTTTTAAGATATTTATTTTAATATAGGACTAAATGAAGGATATATAAAGTACATAGTGAATTTTTAATGGTTGTACTAATTCTAATCAATGTAAAATAGTATTAATTTATTTTTAAATAATGAATAAAAAAATTATTACTTCACTTTTATAATGTGTTTCTACAAATAATAATATTAATAAATTACTTATCTTGTATTTATATTAGATTCCAATTTTACTGTCTACAAATCAAGAATTAATCTAAAAAATAGAATACCAAGATTTATCAATTTCCTTTTTACTTTCAGTTATCCTTATTTATTGGCAAATGATCTTCTCTCTTTCTATTAGTGTATATATATACACACATGTTGATCCTTTTGTGTTTTGCATATATGATGAACCCCTTCAAATACAATCAATTTAACAGTCAATACACATGCAAAATTTAGAATTGAAAAAACATAATCCTGTATAACATGAAGGTCCTCAAGTGAGCATTCTAACCTTGTAACTCTCTCCAAGGTAAGACATCTAAATACTCATTTAGGTATCACAAAGGTTATCCCAAATGAAGACCTGGTGATGCAACGATATAACTTGAGGGTCTATTATTATTCCATCCCATCCCATCTTCTTATTACCTGAATTCTTGTTTAGAGATAACATAATCGAGAATATTCAGCACACACAAACAAGTCGACAAGGATTATGCAAAGAGAATCCAAGCAGATTCTATAAATTTATTCCTGCATGGGAGAGACGGCATTTGATCTCAATGAATCAAGACATTGCGATATGGCGTGTAAAGTGGTTGGGACTCTTTCTACACTTTGCAAATCTGTCAATTTACCCACCAAAGATTCTACGAGAGGCTCTGGCAATCCTACAGTCAGGTTGGCTACTTGTACAAGTTCTGCTAGAGTCTCTAATGCTGTATTCCGCACCTGAGCAATCTTGACTGTGCTAACACACTCAAATATAGGGAGGACTAAAGATTCTAACGAGGGTGCTTGTTTTTTACCTTCCTTGACCTTCCCCACAAAGCCTTTGATTGTTGACAGGGACACATTCTTCACCTGCCATGTGTGACCAATTCCCAGTGTAGCAGCAAGAGCAGAAGAAATCTCTTTCTCGTGAGACGAAACTGTTGCAGTGGAAGCGGATGTGATGGTTGCCGTCAGGCATCCTAATACCTTCTCATACGGAACTGATGGCCCCTCCTCTTTCGGCTCCTCACCTTCCTTTAGTTCTACTTTATCCTTGCGCGGAGGTGCTTGTAAACACGCGTCAAGGAGAATCACTCGGACTTGCTCAAACGTATCATAGTCTAAAGCAAGCAAAACTTGCTCAAGGCAAGCAAAAGCGGCATCACGGAAAGCTTTCTTCTTTCGCCCACACGCGGCAACAACAGCAGAAACGATTGCATCAGGACCGATGGTTGGGGTGGGCGCCGAGACAACCTTTGCGTGCTTTGCAGAATAGCAAGCTTTGCAGAGAGCACCAAGGGCCTCTAGGACCACTTCTTTCCCTTCCCATAACCGACCGGGAATTTCAGCTAGAAGCACTCCAAAAAGCTCTTGAGCGAAAGGGGTCACCCCCTCCCGAACATTTTCTGCGAGCTTGGATAAAGCCCTAGCAGACTTCTGTTTCTGCGTCCAAGAGGATGAACCAATCCCCTCTATCAGAAGCTTTACAATCTCAGGCATGTACATGGTAAGAGTAACACTAGCACTGCTCGTATTGTCTTCCCAAATCTCTTCAAACAGCGCCACTATGTCCTTTTCATCGTCAAACCGTGCGACAAAAGTCATGGGAAGAATGAGGGTATAGTTCCCCTTGAATACATCGTCAGCTTGCCGAGACAGCTCCTTAAGAACTAAGGCACTCACCATACGCTGATCACGATCATTCTCAGAATTGTACAATGCAACCGCGTCAAGGAGTAGCTTCCGGACTTGGGTCTCCGAAGTATACTTTGCAACACTCCCCAAGGCAGCTGCAAAAGCCTTTCTACTTGCTGCACTTTTCTCTGACTTAACTGCCGAGAACAACGCTCTGAGCAGAACGACGGAGTGCGGCTTCATGTCAGGTCCCGAGTGTTGAGCTAACATACTTATAAACTTTCCCACACCTACTCGCGTGTTCAGGCCTACTCCAGATTGAATCAATTGAACCAATCGAGGGATCAAAGATTCAAGAGTTGAATTGTCAACATGGCGAATGCAGAGATCAAGAGTATCCCACATGGGTGAATCCTTTGCGACAGCAATCCGAACACTTTCGAGTTTCTCTTGGCTAATCCCCACCCTTTCTGCATGTAGTTCTGCGTAATTCAGTCTTTGATCCTCTAAACTGGAGAGACTCTCGATCATACAGCTTACAAGATCAGGCATTTGAGGGCGTATTGCTGCACCTGCGCCTTTCACAAGCTTCATAACAGTGTTGATAGAAAGACGCCGGACATCTGAAACAGTGCTCATGATACCCTTCGTCAGAAGGAAAGGCAAAACTATAGCCATAGTATCCCGGGCATCTTTTTCCGGAGAGAGGGAATTGTCGCTCAATCGAAGACTCAAAGAACTTACAGATCTGCATGAACAATCAAGTCCGACATTGTATTTCAATCAATTGTTCCAAGTATCTTCGAAGACAGTTAAGACCACGAGTCTAACTAAAATTTAACATTAGCCTGCACAAACCTTATGCATTGAACTCCTCGAATCAAGCCAGAGAATTAACAAAACAAACAAAAAATCGAGGTTTAGCTGCAAAACTGGGTTTGAATAACCTGCAGAGAACGTCGCCACTCGTTCTGACAGTCTCCTTGATATCATCCACAGCACGAAAAGCAACATTCCAAACCTTCTCAAGATACTTCCCTACTTCACTAAACCTCCGCCCCTGAATGAGATCTGCCAGAGCAGAACATGAACTTTCTCGTGATCTCCAAAGTCGCGACCCTGCTTGCGATAGTAAATCTTCCATGATCTCATCGTAAAACTCATCAATGGTTTTCTTCGGCTCCGCTACCAAGGACCTCCAAATGTGACCCATGGCGTCTTGAATGGCTTTATTTGGGTCATATTGATACCGGACCAGCTTAGGGACAAGCGTCTTCAGATGCGGTTTCAAAGCATCACCTGCTTGTTTGGCTATTCTTGCAAAACCGAAGGCAGCGCCTCGTTTCGAATTCAAGGAAGCTTGATGATTCGCCAAGTCCATAAACTTGTAGATCAAATCTGGCTGTCCCATTTCATTTGCAATGTTGCACAGCTCCTTGTATGTCGAGATATTGCCTCCACCTGGAGTCTCACCGAGAGTGTTTTCCTCAAAAACAACTGTGTCTTCCATAACCTTCACAACACGCTTTTTCTTCGCTGCTCCTGTAAGATTTGAAACTAGGGCTTTAACAAGCTCGTCTTTGGTAGCAGCATCACCTAAATCGTACACAATACTCATCCCTCGAGATGCCATCTCTTGCGTAAGCTCATTTTGCTCTCCAAGCAAATGAGAGAAGGCTTCTTGAATTTGAGGCAACATAGATTGAACGCGCGGATGATGCCCACAATAGCTGATAATTGATAACAACCACACTGAACCTGAGCAACGCTCGTCCTTGTAACCACTGAAAAGGAGCTCATCGAACAGCTTCTTGACATTTTATCTCGTGCGGGTCACTAGTTGTGTCATCAGTGCTTTCAACAGCATCAATCATCTCAACATCTTTACCGTAAGCCAATGACTCCCCAGACAAGTAATTTGAAGTGGCAGCCATAGATACATAGTTTGACTTGAGGATGCTATTTGCTGTGACAGGTACGCCCCCCCAAATGAAAGCCAAAGCTTCACCTATAGAAACATAAAAAAGTTCTAGTAAGCCACAAATTGTACGCAATCAACCAACAAAGCAAACCACTTTAACTTAAACTTCCGACACCAGCTTACGTGGTTTCTTTTCGTAACCGACTGTCATATGATTTTGCTCAAACTTGGTCGAACATGGACAGATACAAGTCCACAGGAACTGATGGTAAAATTCATGAAATTAAATGCCCTTGGGTATGTACGTTTACGCAAGGCAGGAGTAAGAAGGTATGAATGAGAAAACATACATACCTACAGAAAACAACACATCTTCAGCCTTCGTCTTGCTTAAAGTAAAAAGTGCTGTAAGGGAAGCATTGGCAAGCTCGACACTCCTGTCACCAAAGCACAGGTGTCCCAGTGCTATCGCCGCCTTCTGCATGACTTTCACATCCTTGTTTCCAAGTAAAACCCGCAATTGTGTCACAATGGACGCCAATGACAGTTCTCCTTTCTCCACCACAGCTCTCCCATCATCCGATTTCTCTTTCTCCTGTGTGGTAGCAGTAGACGGCATTGCAGTGGTAGCCGTGCTAGATTCAGCTCCGACTCCAGTCGTTGCAGCTTCTTCCGGAGAAGATTTCGCACTTTTTGTGCTCGAAGCAGCTGAGGCCAAATCTCCGATAACCACAGGTAAAGGCTTTCTCAACCCTGCGTGCCCAATGGCCTCAGCTGCTGATCCTGCTAAAGAAGGATTTGCATTCTTCGTCTCCTTGAACAAAGCATTAAGGGCATCACAAATTAAACTCTCTGGAACAGCAGGAGTATTCGTCATACATTGTGCGAGCACGTAACCTGCGGCACATATGCTACCGTGCAAATCCTCAAACCGCGCCTTCTGTACATTATGGAATGTAGACAACAGCTGCTGGAGCAGATCGGCAGCTTGTGGCGCTGAGAGACTGGAAACTGCGATACCTAACAGGCGGGCTATGGCCTCCCTCGTTGTTGAGTCAATGTGGCCAATGAACTGTCTCAGCCATGTTATTCGGGTTGCATATGCATCAGCAAATTGGTTGGGGTTAAAAGAAGCCAACTTGAGTAAACCAGTGCTAGCTATTCCTTGTAAGTCTGCAGTTCCATCAATGGCCATCCCATGCTCCATCAACAACTGGAAGGCCTCCTCGGGAGGAGTTTTCCCCAAGATATCAGAAAATACATCTTCTTTACCTTTCAGTTTACTCTTATCAAGACCTATCTCATTTTCATAGCAATGCTGAACAAAAGTTATCATAGCGGCATAAGCTTTGGGTGGGAAGAGCATAGTGCGTTCACCCAGAGGAGGCTTCGATAAAACATGCGGTTGCTGTTGGCAGATGTACTCCATCATGGGCCTCAACCCTGGGTACTCAGCAGTGAGTACGGAGCCTTCAACACCCTCCTTCTCGGCGTTTGGGGCCCTTAAACCTTCATTTGCCATTTCCCGAATGTCAAGCTTCACGTCTCCAGCACCCAGCATACAGATAAAACGACTGGGGGCGTGTGAAAAAGGGTACAACCGTGTTGCCCAAAGTACACTACAAAATCTCGCCCCGCTTTCTGAAAGCTTTATGTTTTCCAATAGGAGACTTTCAATCTCTTTGAAAACATCTGGCCTTGCTTTGTAAGCATTAGCTAACGAGGAGAGCGCTTCTTGAACAGTTACTCTAACAGAATCAGGCTCACTGCGCAATGCCGCAAACATCCGAACCGCCATGTCTGTATTCTTGTTGAACAGGTGAGGAGCCCGCAAGGAAAGTTGGCCTATCGCTTGGTATGTGAATGATCGAAGCTGTTTGGAGGACGAGTCTGTATCGCCTGGATCCTGGCCATCAAGAAGCTTTAGTAGCCCACTGAGGATAATCTGCGCCATAGGTTTCAGTTGATCATCTGACGCATGCTTGAAAATCCAAACGGCGAATTCCATCCCCGCGTGTTTCAGCTTCATAGTTGTCCCAGGTCCATAAATGCAATCAAAGACACATTGGAGGGTAGAAGGGAACGCATTCGCCGCTACTATGGAGCGAGTGAATACAGACATCAACCTCGCCTTCAAGTTCGGTCCAGCTGGCGCCACTTTCTGCTCGGGTGTCTCACCTGATATCGATGAACCTTAACAAGACATCAAATAAACGTATTCATAAGCAAGAGAAACACATCAAAGTGATGTCACAGCTCCCAAAGAATTGAGAACCTAGCTCCACACAAATCTGTCACGGTAGTCACAATGGATATCCGGAATACCTTGAAATATTGCAAAGAGTCGTTTAATAAGGGAAGGGTCTTCAAGGTTAGCCCCATTTGCCTTCCGTTTCAGCAACTCTTCTCCTCTCCGCGACACTCGCTCATTCCCATCCGCAGCAGCCACAATGTACAGAGGATAGACACTGTCTGTAGGTAACTCAATCTCGGCCAAATAATTAAGAACGCCCAACTTCCTTGATGTCAGAGAATCCCCCTTGAGAACTGATTTTCCATTTACACGTTTGGCTTGTTCCACGGACAAGCCTGGCGGAGGCACTAGAGCACCTTCAGGTGTGGTCATCATCGGTTGAAACAATAGGATGTGTAAACAGTATGTTAGAAATATTTCACAGCTGGCAGGATCTTTCAAAAACTCTCCTGTCCATTGATTATTGGAAAAATATCCAGCATAACGATCCAAGCCCTTGGCCGCCATACGCAAAATCATATCTTGATGCTGCACGGGTGCCTTGGCCAGACCCAAAAGTAGCGATCCAACAACTTCCGTTTGCTCATCCACAGGGGCCCGATCATAGGCCATTTCTATGTACACAAGGGCAAAGTTCCGCACCATGGAGGCCGAATCAGGAGATATATAGAGCTTCAGCAGCTCTCTCAAAGGTAATTGAATCGAGGCCTGGTCTTTCACACGCTTGTTAATGTGGGACAGCATTTCCATGACCTGTGATGTCCATAGTAAATCTAACGTTAATGAAAAAATCATGGACACAATAATGAGAATTGCACAGTGGCTACACAGCATGATGCTAAGCATTTTATCTCCTTTTCTTTAGTTGCGGTACATAGGGGCAGAAGTCCAGATACTCGAAATTTCAAAACTCGTAACAACAATCAGCCTGAAAGATCCAATTTGGAAAAAACCTGGCCTTAAAGATCCAATTAAACTCTGCACTTCAACAGAGCAGCAACTGCGAAACGTATAATCTTCGCAAGTAAAATCGCATACATAAACCTCAAACTTCAGGGAGTTATGCAAATCAGACCATGAGACGCAACAAATTTCACAAATCACTGTCAAGGTGGTTCCTTTCAAATTCAAGATGAAAGAGGTATCCCAGCTGTCTATGAAGATCGATGTATGTACTTTAATTCTCTGTGGGATGATATCATACTTGACTAGAATAGATGAAGCAGAAAAAGGGAAGAATTCAATAACTAACACGCAGCGAGAGGATAAATCACACAGTGTGCGTATGTCTTGCCTTCATCTTCGTTGGATGATACGAAGAGCCCAACCGCGACACAGCAAGTGGCAAGAGCTTGGACAACACCTTCTCCAATTGCGTTTCCTCCGTAAGTGCCAATCTGGTGAGCATCCGATCCAGGACGGCTTCCTCCGATGCTCCATCTGTGGCCCCTGAGGTCGCCATCTAAAACTCAAGTCCTAATACAAAACCCAGTCACCGAATCAACTCAAAATCCCCTCCACTAAATCAACCACTGCGAAACTACGCAGCAGCACAACTCCCTCCCCTTAATTGCATAACAGCCAACCGACCATAAACCCTATTTCCTCCTTCCCTACTTCATTTTATGCAGTAATAATGCAAGAAATCTTACGAAGGGTCAACGCCACCAATATCAAACGACAAGGGCTCTTAACTCCCAACCCTACGCTCAATCTACACGACAACTTTCAATACACGCAATCGAACTATCGATCAACGGTTCAATCGTCTCGCAGGTTGAAATTTGCGGTGTACAAGCTATACTTCGACGCCAAAGTTTGCATTACTCCTTGCGGAAGACGCAGAATCGTGAAACCCGTGCGATGGTCTCATCACTTCGGGCACATACAAACATCGATCGATCGGTCGATCAAACTATCTATCGATCAGTCTATAGGTTCGAAAATTATTGCGACCTGCAGCGAAGTTATGATTCGAGGTGGCAACTTCGCCTGCAGCAGCGCGCTTCAGTTTCGCCCAGCCCTAGAACCAGCGCCTTCGCGGGAATGCATGACCGCGAGAGAATGAGGATAATACCGTGGTCCACACATTCCGTTGGGCAAGCCCTATGGCATGAGAGAGGCTTCCTATTCATGGGCTTGGTGGTGATGGATGGCTTTTTAAATTAGGCTTCGTTAATAAATTATAAAAATTTAATGTTGTTTTTCTAATAATTGGAAAAACATTGCAAAAATTAAATAATTATTCGTTTTTTTGATAAAATTTCTACAAAGTATTTTTTTGGATACTAATATAAATATCAATGATAATCATACTTATCAAAAGAAACTTAAAATGATGACAAACAACTAGCGATTGCTTGAAGTAGATTAAATTTTTTATTTAAATAAATTATTTTAAAAAAAACTATAATATATTCATGATGTAACCACTATAAATAAATGCATGTGTATATGTATGTAAATATATATGTGTATATGTATGTAGATCAATATATATATATATATATACATATATTAAAGAATGATAAAACAACTCAAATTTTTACTAAAGCAACTCACCTATCTAAACTATCATTATACCTCCCATCATTTGTTCTTATTCTCATATTCCCAATTTCTTCAACCATGTTCTCATCTATACTTTCTATCCTGATTCCTTTACTATTCATAGCACTGGTTCTTCATTCCTTCTATTCTCCCATTCCTCTTGTCTACTTCCATCTATTATTTACCATCTTTACTTTCAACTTCGTTTGATGTCCTAAATTTTCAAATTTGAACAATGTTTCACTCAATGGTTTATTTAGTTCATTATCTTTATTCTATCAACATAAGCAAACAAACTCAAAAATTTGCCCTTGCTTTAGTCCCGTCCCATCTTGTCCCATTCCAACTCTAAATATCTTTATCGACAAATGATACAAATGGGATCCTTTGATGGTAGTAGATAGTGAGCTTTAAAATAGTTGATAAGCTTATCTATTTTAAGCAATGCCTTTCCTTCCGTAGGTACTACCATTTTGCAGCACAAGACCAAGGTGATGAGCAAGATTGTTATGGTCTTTGATTTAGTTGCCATCTTCATCCTCTAATGGTCAATTTTGTAGCTCAACTGCTAAATTGGTTCTTGTGATATGCAGAGCTGATTGCAATAAAAGGCAAGTTGTAAGAACTATGTCGTGTAATTATTTATATACTTATAGCATTTAAATCTCAACGTGAAAATTTTCATGACTAGGCTTGTGGTGCGGCTTGTGTATCTATATAAAAGCTTATTAACATACCCCAATAATTATTGACAATTAAAAACACTAGTTCCATAATCAAGAATTAATTGATGAGATGTGAGTTACTTACTTAATATATTACAAAGCTCAAATGACATCATGAATAGATGTATAAATCCTTTAGCTTGATGGTTGCAAAGGATTGATCATCAAGAAGTAACTAATCCAACTTCTATATTACTAAATTCAATAGCTTTGGCTAGATGTTGCATCTGGGTTTGAAAAACTCTACATTAGAATACTACAAATCCTTTTATAAATAGGGAGTACAAAAGATGAAGATGATCTCCATAATATAGCCACATTTGTACATATATCATTAGACTAGTAAGCATATTAACAAAATACGTGAGACGCTTTTATCAAACAAATTTGTCTGATTCCAAATCTAAGCAAAAGATGAAATTCCTTGTAAATCATAACTTTTTGAAGATGGCAAGATAAAAAATAATTAGATAATCCAATGACTTAACATCCTTCACAACATTGTGAATTCAACTTCCAAATTTGAGACTCCAAACTCCATCATTTCAATGCATGATATTCCTCATATAATGTAAATTGAAGCTTATACAATGGCTTTTGAGGATTGAAATCTCCTTCTATTATTTTGGTTCTATTTGATTGCTTTATGTATAGTTTGTAAATAGGATTAGAAACCACTATAATTGAAAGAAAAGGTTTTCCATTTGAAATTGTAATTCTTAAAGAAATGTGTATTTAAATAAAAACCTTGAAATCATTTGAAATAATCTATATTCTTAAGTAGTACAAAGTGCATCAATGTTTCTTTAATATGAAAGATATTACCACTGATACTAGAATCTCTATATTACAATCTAAAGGTTTGAATGTTTAAAGAATTTTCTAACTTGATTCTTTCAAAAGATCACTTGGGAATTCAAAACTCATTAATGAAAATGAGGTTGAAAAGTAGAGCTTTGAATTGTGAGCAATTATTAAAGCAAGTAGGTCAACTCACATTTGATATATTTACCTCACTTTGCAATCCATATTATAATAAATCCCATGTCAAGAATCATATCTTTTTGCACTAAATCATTGCATTCATTTGCTTCATCTATGTGGCAAGCCATTGCACAACATTGACAAGATCGTTGATTATCCTTAAACACTTAATTCATATCTATCTGAGGTTCTCATTTTGAAGATTTGGTAACCTGCCAATATCTTCATTTCTTCCATTTTGGCTCAAAATCCTATAATGTATTAGCCACATCTAGAAGGGATGATTTTATCTATACAATATCTTCATATATCACTCTCTATCTTAAATCTTGGATTGAAATTTGTAGCTGAATATGCAATGGACTTTGATAATGATTACTCCATTGTCCAAAAAAATATGGTTCAAGAAATACTAACAACTCGTAAGTAGCGCACAGGATGCATTAGAATATTCAATCCAATCATCTTTAGGCCCAAGACTAATGGTCCAAGTGACATTCATCCCATTGGCCCAATTCCTAATTTGCAATAACATGCCATCAACTTTGTGGGATCCTGTTTGTACCACATGTCAATAAAGATGTTCAAAGTTGAGATGGGATAAGACAAGACTGAAGCAGGTGCAAATTTTTGAGTGTATCTGCTTATGTTGATAAAATAAGGATGATGAGTTGAATAAACTATGGAATAAAGCTTCATTTAGATTTGGCAATTTAAGATGGTGGATAAGGTTAAAAATAGAGATGGCAAATAGTGGATAGAAATGGATGGAAGGAACAAAAGAATAGAGGAAACGAAGAACCAGTGCTGGGAATACATAAGAGGTCAAGATGGGAGATATGGATAGGAATAAGGTTGGAGAAGTTGGAAATAGGAGGAATGATGACAAAGAACATGGAATGTAATGATGGCTTAGATAAGTGAGTTGCTTTAATAAAAATTTGAATTTCTTTATCATATAGATATATATATATATATGTTTCATTAGAGGTGTCAAATATGGAAGAAAGGTTAAAAAAAAAAATTGAAAATAATATAATTAAAATATAATAAATTGCTATAATTTTGATGCCACTAATCCAAATATTGCAATATCCTCTAAGGAATCAAAGAAAAGCAAAACATTTTCTTCTAATTTTTATCAACAGCTGCTTTTCTCTTATATTAAATAGAAAAGGATGAGGTTGAATCCATGCACTTTATAATTACCCATGATGTCAACCCATACTTTTCTCCTGTAATTAAGTTATTCTTCTACTCCTAATAAGTTGCATTCTCTAATGAATTTTGTAAAGTAGCTTACATTTTCACATTGACTTCTCCATTCTCTAATTTCAATTTTTTTCCTTTCTTTGAAGTCTTCTCTGAGTTTGACACCCCCTTATGTATCAATTCTAGTGTGATATTCAAAAATCCTACTCAATCATGATTGAGATAATACAATACACACATGTGTACTATACAATCAAATTAATGTATCGTTTATCTTTTGTGATCTGTACAATGGTTTGGCGTGTTCAAGTATCAGAATTTGGAAGAAACAATGAAATATCAGCAAGTTGCATCCAAAGACAAAGAAGAGATCAATACCTTTCAGACATTGTCATTCAATCATAGCATATCAGTAGACTTGCATGATTCCAAATATAACATCCCCACATTCGATCTAGGAGATTTGTCTTCACATCCAATTGCAATATGGTGTTTTGGCGTTGCCATACGTTCATGGTTTAGAGTTGATGTGTATTCGGCAATAGCGAATTTTTCATTTGTGTAGACAATCAACTTTTCAAGGCAAGTTATATATTGAACTATTTGCACTCTCAGCTCATAATCTACTCATTAGTCACACAAATCCAAACTGCATAATATGAAGTTGGTATGCAAACATTTCACTTTGATGCTTGGTGCTTATTCCAAGGTACGATACTCTATTCAAAAGGTAGTATATCTTCATTTCAGTTTACATGGATTACAGTATTACTCGGGCTGTTCCTGAGAAAGCCAAAGGAAAATGCCCATCAAGCAGAACTTAACAGAGTTGCCAATGTTTCACTAACAAACCCCGTTCATTCAAGAATTCACAACAAAACTAGGATGAGCTACCATGCTTACGCATTCGTCAACAGACAAATGTAAAGTGAGCTAATTTCCATTTATACAACGACTGCGGATCTAGTTCTTGTACTTCATTGACGACTTCTCGAAACCAATAGTGGGGAATTGCTTCGCGAACTCTTCCACCTCGTGCTTCAACTTTCCAATTTCAGCCTGAACCTCAGGGTCGGTGTCGACAACGTTCCTGAAGTCCTTCAACTTCGTACCTGCCACAGGAAATAACGCTCAGTGATAAGCTTTCCAACTTCGAGAGAGTTTGGTGTCATTGACGACATCTGTTCTGTGGTTAAAAATATATGAAAAATCTCACCTGTGGACTTCTTGACTTTCACGGCGATCTCCACTGCACGGTCGAAGTACTCAGCAACCTTCTCAAAATCTTCCTCGGTAAACCCTCTGCTTGTCAAAGCCGGGGTTCCTGTAATCAAACAGAATTCATATTCATCAATATCTGATGAAGATTTACTGTGGAGTCTTGATGGCTAGTCGAAACGAATAAGAACTCAGAGCATAAATCTGTGTACTGCATACAGTCACCACTACGACCTACAAGATTACATTAATGCATTAAGTCATTTCACTGGTTTTATCTCTAGATCGTTTTCAAATAAGAAGACTACTGATTCGAGAGCTTCGTTTACACTTACCCATACGGATACCTCCAGGTACCAATGCAGACACATCTCCTGGAACAGTGTTCTTGTTTGCTGCAATGTGGGCAAGCTCCATCACTCGCTCCACCCTTGAACCGTCCACACCCTACACAATGACAAGAACCATTCATCGCAGATCAGGACACAGTCTTAATTAATAGTCATACTGGTAGAAAATTAGAACATGGAACATGTGATAACAGTACTGAGGAAGAGTTTGCAGAATACACCTTGGGCTTGAGGTTAACAAGAACCAAGTGGTTCTCTGTTCCACCGGACACCAGCTCGTAACCCCGGCCCATCAAAGCCTGTTTTATAAGAATCAATATTGTTAGTTACTGGAAGTTTTACATCTAAAATGAATAAAATAATATACTTAAAAGCGGGTTGGAGAAGAAAAAATCAACTGACCATACACATGGCTCTGCTACTAGTCATGAGAATCGCCGACCACATAGTCACTGTCTGAAATTCTCATCACTAGATATCGTTGCAAGAGATACTGACCTTAGCAAAATGTGCTGAGTTCCTCAAAACTTGTTCCTGATAAGCTTTGAATTCGGGAGTAGCAGCCTGCTTCAGGGCAACAGCAAGACCAGTGATGGTATGGTTGTGGGGACCTCCCTGAAGTCCAGGGAAAACGGATGCATTGATCTTATCTTCATAATCGTAGAACACCTGCACAACAGAATTGTATAGCAGGGATAAAGTAGGTTGAACCCCAGCTCAATGCTGATGCGAGAATCTAACAACGGAAGAATAAAGAACAAAATGACAAAATAACCATACTCAAGAAAATCACGCTTGGCTATGCTAACAAGGTGCGAGTCAATATGGGAGATTACAATAGAAAGTACCACACAAAAAACATAAAACAAAAAACAAAAGAAATCTGCTTCTGAAGTACTTTACCTGTTCACCCTTCTTGGTTGTCTCCTTCAGACCCTTACGGTAGAAGATCATCGCACCTCGAGGTCCCCGGAGAGACTTGTGAGTCGTGGTGGTAACAACATCGGCATAGTCAAAGGGAGATGGGACAACGCCACCTGCTACAAGTCCACTGATATGGGCCATGTCGGCGAGCAGAATCGCCTTTTGCTTGTCACAAACCTAAAAAAAACAGCCAGTCGTGAGTTTTCAAACGGGGGATTAACAAGTTCACAGATCCTTCAAATACTAAATTGCAATAATATGGGTGTAACAAATCCAATCATAGAAACCTGTTAAAAGGACTAGCAACCCACCTGGCGCATGCGAGCGTAGTCGTAATGGCGGGCATAAGCACTAGCACCAGCGACTATCAACTTTGGTCTGAAGAGTGTTGCGCTCTTCTCCATCTGGGGAAAAAGAATATGATGAAAAAAGTTAGAGAATCTGTCAGAAAAAAACTCCTAGTTTTCATAATCTTCGGGAAAATCAACTGCAACGAAACTGCGCTGCATCAAACGATTTTAAAACTTCAATATCGGGAAGTGGACCCATTGGTGATCAGGAGAAAAGAATTTAGATAGTTCCGTAAAATCCTTGGTAGTATTGAGCACCCAGCTGCTGATATTGCTAGCCAAGGCAACCGAATTCACTCGGTAGGTGAAACAACGCTTACATTCAAAACTTTCTACGGTAGCAATGCACAATATTTACCTGATCATAGTCGATATAACCTGTGGACTCGTTCAGTCTGTAGGGCATAGTCTCGAAGAAAATGGAAACGGCTGAAATCTTCTTTGTATCAGTCTGTTTGCCATGAAAAGCATGAAGTGTGAATAAATTCATGATTGTGGAGAAACGTGCAGATACGTAGTAAGAATGGCAACCATCTTAGGATATTCAGTTTGAGCAAATACCACAAGCAAGTATAAATTGGGCATGAATAGAAAACCAGAAGACGTACCTGATATCCATGAGACAAGTGGCCACCATGAGGAAGATCCAACGCCATGATCCGCTCATGTGGCTTCAGGAGAGCTGTGTACACCTGAAAGTTTGCTGGCGATCCAGACAGGGACTGCACGTTCACTGTTCAAAAAGACGTTGAAAGTGAGCATGATAGGCATCTCTAGAAAAGACGAATACTGCTACCGAGTAAGCAGGAAGGGAACTTCAGCAAACGTATTTGAAAACAGATTCGGTAACTGAGTATGCATAAGCAGAGAGGACTGACCTCCCCATTTCTCGGGGTCGAGACGGAAAGCAGCAAGTGCTCTCTTTTGGCACAATCTTTCAGCCATATCAATGTACCTGCGGACGGGTAGCGCTGTCAGCCCAACTGATCACACGTAAACGACCACCAAAACTACACTTGGAAAATAGTAATGAAGTTTAACGTCATGTAATAACACCACGAAGCAGAGAAAAGGTGACATACTCGTTGCCACCGTAGTAACGAGCCCCGGGGTAACCCTCACTGTACTTGTTGGTCATGACTGACCCCACTGCCTGCATAACTGAGAGGGAGGTGAAGTTTTCTGATGGGATCAACTCCAGACCCTACACAGAAAAGCAATTCGTGTTACAACAATTCAAGGTAGTAGAAAGTAATTGACGAGTCCGTACAGTCTTCTAACAAGTTAATATTTTGGTAGAAATACTAGTGAAAGGGCAAGGCACGTGATAAACATGATAAAAACACCAGATAAAAACACAAGGAAACGAACTTCAAACCTTGTATTGACGGTTCTTCTCATGTTCGATGATGTCGACAATCTCGGGGTCAACCTCGGAGATGTCGGCATTCAGTTGCTTCGGCCACTGGTCCATACAAAGAACAAAGTATCATCGTCAGTGCTTCGACTTCCTCTCGTGAAAGATTGGTTGCGAGTTACCTTGCGACCGACATACGTTTGGTGCAACCGCTCAAAGAATCATAACAACTCTAACAGTCAATTGAATCGTGACCAGATTATGCACTGACGTGACTGGGACGTTGTAATCACCCTACTCAGCAGCTCGGGTGTAGAATTTCCATTTCATCCGCGCACAATATTCATGATTTCACCGCCCAGGCATATCTAACATACAGAATAATAGATAACTGCTCAAGTTCCGGCATGACTAGACCGAAACAGAAGTAAAAACGTCAAAATTTAAACGTAATTGACCAATTGATGGAATATTATCCTCTAGATTCATCAGAAAACTAAAGTGAAATCCTGGATCCATAAGCTACGATAGAGCAACAAACCACAGTGCGCAGAAACAGCTGTAAAAGGAGGGTCAATACTCTCACCGTCACATGCGCTTTGGAGGAGGTAGGGTCCTCTGCAGCAGCTGCGGACTGCGGCACAAATCAAATCCACAGAGTTCATTAACAGGATGCAACACAATCCTATTACACGAAGATAAAACCTCGAGAACATGTACCACTTCCGTATCCCACTCAGGAAAGATCCAACGTAAGGCCCGGTTCCGTTACTACCACTCCATTGCAGTGACAAACGAGAAACAGTAGAAGAGTCGACACTCACGGTGGCGAAGCGGAAGCTAGCGGTGGCGACAGCCGGTGCTTGCTGCAATGTACGCTGCAATTGCTGCCCCTGAGCCCTTGCGAGGCGAAGCAGTGCAGTAGCCATGGCCATAGCGCTGGCGGTACAAACTCCCTCCTCGCAAGGATATCTAAACCACAGAACTTCAGCGCAAGGCACAGTTACCACAACTACGACAAGCTCACAGCGGTGTGTTCTGTTTTCTAAGAGGGCGGAGCTCCAACTATGTCCACAATTCCAGTGTGGATGGGGTGAGCTATTTGTGCCTGACAATGTATGTGATTACGAGGGTGGAGGCCCGTTCAGTAGAATTGACGTGATTCGTGAACCTGGACGAGGCCAGGATGATCAAGTCCCCACCCTTCAATGTCTGGCTTCCTATCTCTTTGGGTGAGTCCTCGTTCCTCCACCACTATGATGGAAGGCAGAATCTCCTCCCTTCATTTCTGCTCTTTCTCTCCATGCCTCTCGATTTCATCTCCTTTCTTTTCGTCTCCTTTTTTGCTGCTCGGTTTGAGCTCATTCTCTGTTGGCCACTTGAAAGTGATCGCAGAGTGTCAACGCCACCAGATCAATTGTGAAGACTGGAAAATCCGGTGGATATGTACGGCCCGATTCGCTGCCAGACTCGATTCGCTCAAAGTAGTGCGAAATTCATTTTCGCACCGCTTTCGTTAAAGTCGCATACCATTGTCTTGGCTAATCAAATTTGCTGGTTTTGGACAAGGATTGGGGTTGATTTAATTCATTCGATCAAAGTCTCATTCTCGACGAATCGCGATTAGTAGATGTTGGAATTCGATACTATTTTCAGGAGTTTGCTTGAGATGTCTAATGACGATTCTGAACAAAACGCTCCCCTTTTCTGAAATGGGCCGCATGTATCACTTAACGCATGAAAATGTTCTGTGGATATAGGAGTAGTAACGTAGGCACCACCCACAACTCAGGAATCATCTTTTAACACCTGGACGCATGGTACACACATCTTCCAAGGCGCGGGTAACAGTGGATCAGCATGGAGTTACTGCAACCAGATTGTGCACTTTCGGTGGGCCCACAAAGTGAGTAGGTAACTTCATCAATGGCAAAAAGCTTTGCGTCCATGTCGTCCAAGCGACTTGGATGAGATTCAATCAGTAACAATGACAGAGAAGTCCATAGAGGATTTTTAAGATGAAGACACAGCTCCAGAAAAACTTAAAATCTAAAAATCATGATAGGTGTACACAACTGATGTGGTGGTGGCTTGGGCTGTGAAAGTGCTCATTAACGTCATGAATGTCGTCATTTGGACTTCACTCGATCAGGGTTACCAAATCAGTTTCAACTTCGTCTCATAATTTGTATGCAAGAGACATTCGCTTGAGAAACAGCAGGAATCCGACAAGCCTTACACATGGAATCGTCTGACTTGGTAGGCTTTCCAGTCGACAGTGGAACCTCAGAGGAAATTGCTACAAAAATAGGAAATGGGACTCTTCCAAACGGAGATACGAACTAATCCGTTTCACCCATATGAGTTGAAGCTGCGACTCGAAACCAAAAGAATACAAGACCGTACAAGAACGAAAGAAAGAAGGAAGGCCGATCTTGGGCTAATCATATGACGAATTCGATCCATACATATAGCCAGGACAAAGTTTGATGCGATACTTGCACGAACAATATTGATGGATGAGTGAATTTCACATTTCAAAAGAGAGCGGTGAAACCGCGAACCATCATACTAATCCATGAAACCAGACTAAGGCTCTAAACGGCTGTGAACACCTTCTTGTTACCTCCATCTGAGGCGCCCATAGGAATAACCTTCAAGACGTTGAATCTCACAGTCTTCGAAAGAGGCCTGGGGAAGATGGAGGAAAATGACCGGCTCAGAATAAGAAAATTCCAAAATACATAGAAAGAGAACAAGAACACTGGGTTTCGAAGTAAGATCTCGAAGGAAGAAAAAAGCAGACTAGGACACTCTTCAACCACCATTGCATCCTTAAATTTTTCCAATACAATGAACAAGATCTAACCTGCATTGTCCGATGATAACCTTATCACCCTCCTTTACACGGAATGCGGGAGAGACGTGAGCTGCCAAGTTCGAGTGCCTCTTCTCGTACCTGTATGAAATTGGGGCTAAATACTCAAAAAGAAACTAACCATTTAAACACACGGAGAGAGTACCATCTGCGTGAACCAGCACCTTAGAAATGACCAACGAATCATCCACGTACTTTCGGTGACATTTACATAAAGAAAACTCGCCTCTGGTATTTCCTGACGAAATGAAGGTAATCCCGCCGAATGGTGATGGTGCGAGTCATCTTGGTGCAGTTCACAGTTCCAGTTAGGATGCGGCCTCGAATGGAGACATCTCCGGTGAATGGGCACTTCTTGTCAATGTAGGTGCCTGAAAGTTTAGAACACTCCCGAGATCTCAGCACAGATCACTCAACATTCACATCAAACCCTAATGCAACCTTGGGATTTATTTTACGTCTAAGCATGAAAGATAATCACGGGCCCTGCCTAGCGCTTGACGCTGCGACTAACGACAGCTATTGGACATCCCGCCCAAGTCTGAAAAAACGCAATTACCCACCACGTACGTGCATAAATTCTTCTTATACCCTATCAGTCATGTAGGACAACCCCCCATGACAGATCCTAGGCCATGTATTCGAAAGTCATAAAAAAACTATCCTTGAGTGTTAGGTCAACATTCCACTCGATGCGATGAGGTGCTATCAGGCAGTCTAACGAAATGCATAGTCCTTGCGAGAGAGAAAGGCTACGCGAACGGTATTTTCAGCATAGCCTTCATAGAAATATTACTTTTTTCAAAAAATCCCAATAACACGGATTGATGAAACTTAAAGAATGGGAATAAACCCAAAAAGAAGCCATACCTTCAATAGCTTCGCGAGGGGTCTTAAAGCCAAGACCAACATTCTTCCAGAAACGGGTACCGGCCTTTCCTGCAGCCTTCCCCTTCGCTGAAGCCTTAGTGCTGCGGAGAGTCAACCAACACAGAAATAAACATCGAGTATTCGCAACCCACAATGTGCAAGAAAAAAGAGTGCACCACGAACTTTTTACACTACAAGTCTGCCCACAGCAATAGCATAAAGAACGAAGTGCTACCTGAGGAAGACCTTGGGCTGCTTCAGGAAAGACTTCTCAGTCTACAGGCGCGCAAAAAGAAAACCGCGAACACACAAGAGCGAAATTCGTCAGCACAGCACACAGAATGCGCAACCTAGAGAAAACTGGATTGTCCAATTCCACATCAGTTTATGGTTCGGACAGGTTCAAGTAAAAATTGAGTTGATTAGGTTCAAAACCAGAGTCAAGCATACCTGCTCCGCCATGATGCTCGAGCTGGGATGTCCAGGAGCGAAGCAGAAAACTATCAAGGCGAGGGCGAAGATGCAAAACGCAAAAGAGACAGTGGTAGGTGTCCCAGCCGCTCTTAGGGCTGCTGGAGATCGAGGTTCCTAGGGCTCGACCGTTCCACCGCAGAACACCATTTCACAACGACCGTTCCGAAGTAGAACCTGTTCTCTCGAATAACGTTGGGAAATTGTACTGTTGAGTTCAAAACCATGGCATCATGTTGAACTATAGAAAGGTTCTGGGTGGAAAAAGTCGAGCAATTTTGTCTTTAACTCAGTAATTATAATTCTGAAAATAAAGATTTGAAGAAAAAGAAGAATGTTCTGTACTCGAAATTTGTTTCACTGCAGTAACAATAAAAAAATTTGGGTTTCATAAGAGAAGTCTAGGTTGATACATGTGAATAAAAATCAATAGATTGAACAAACAGGCGTGTGTGATTGCTCATTTGTAAAAATATGTTAACGATAGTTAGAACGTTTTTTAAATGAAAACTTCACATTGTCTTCTTAAACTTAAAATGTGTTGAATTAGTTTGGTATATGGGGTGGTACGCGTTTCTTTAAATTAGGACAACACAAGTGGTATTTCACTCTGATACAAGAAAACTAATTAGGTCTTTTGTTTTTGAAAAACAAGATATTGTGATTTTTAGCTCGTTAAATGATAGCGACAAACACGAGATATCACAAAGTTTCAAGAATATGCACCTTCAATTTTTTAAAATATGTACTATCTGGCACTATCAATGCACACTGTTTCTTGTTACCGTGTACATTAGGATTAAGTTAGGTGCTGATTTCCATAATTATTTATAGAAATTCAAGAGAATCCTTGCAATCAAATTCCTAAGTTTACTTTCATCATATATCTTGGATATCATCCAAATTTGAACAACCGCAGTATAAAATGATTCGTATACCCACACGCCCTCATGTTTTTTGTATTATATAACCCACAAACCCAAGAGCTGTAAATTTAAAGAGTTTTAGTACCAAAAAACATATTAAAGTTCTTACTAAATTTATTAGAAATACTGCAACTGTAATCCAAACACATATTTAAGACAGGTTCGTTAACTTGTAATTTTCAAACCAAACGTTGTGAATTCAATATATCACGCATTTTAATACATGAATTCAGCATTTAGGCGATGGTCTCTTTTTACAAGCCAAGCCAATTCTTCAGGGAAAACCAGCAACCAGTCAAGATCGCCTTCTCCTCTTATGCTGATCAGAATAATCTTTCCATCGCTGATGATCAAGCTCGCTCAAATCATCCAAAGCAGATATTGCAACCAGATAGTCAGCCAGTCCTAGAAGCTCCTGATCTGAAGCACGGTTAATGTGTGCCTTCCTAAAAGGCTTGATAACCAACCCATTTTGAGGATTCATAACAAAGTTCCGTCTCAAATCGTCGAACATGATTGTGTTCTTAGAGTTGTAAAACTGCAAAACAAACCCAAGCAGTCACTACCTCATCAACCGATACAGCTTTTTAAAATCGGGGAAGTTCAAAGGTGTAAGTCTGCATGGAATCAAACATTTGACGCCATCAACACAAATGCTCACCTCAGGACACTTTCCCCAGAGGACACCGAGCGGTTTGCAATCAAAAACCCCATGAGACTCTGATTGGACGGTAATCATGGCTAGATGGTCCATCATGGCTGTAATTTTGTAATCTGGGTGCGAAAGTACACCAAGCTCCTTCATCTTCACCTCTACCCACTTCATGCTGACAGCCCCACACGAATCATCCCTTCGATTGTGATATCAAGTGGCATGATACGTAACAAGACTGGATATCAACGGCGCTAACAGATGACACTCGATTCAAGCCAATGAGGAATAAAAGTCTCAATATGTTGTGAATTCTCAAAGCAAATACAGCGTGAATGCCATGGGCTGAATTCCCCCGACTGCATTTCTAGTTCTTTGGGACATGAGAAATAAACAGAGGGTATGAGTTGAATCACAGGCAGCTCACCTGGTTGCAGACCAAATTATGACATCATAAAACTGGTACGCCGTTGTCAAGAATTCATGAAGATCTGTCCATCAGTTACACACAGTAAGCCAACGCTTAAATACCACACCTACCTACTTGTCCGTCCCAAAATTAAAATTCGCAACTACAGATTCCACATTGGCAAAGGAACAAATAGATCGTGTCCTAACAAAGAGAAGTGGTGATAGAACAATACTTACAAGGACGCATAAGTTCGCGTGGATTCTCAGCAGTCGAACGGTGGTCAAATAGGGTATAGTCTATATCCAACACCAAACACTTCTTGCCTGGTCGAGGAGGATTGATTAGATTCAGCTGCCATCAAATTTCAATAATAACACCCATTTGAATGTAAGATTCATAAAAGGCAAGCATAATTACCCTGTACTCCATACCCTTCTACAAGGCTCTTAAAATTATCTTAGAATCAATCGTATAGGGTATTTGAGTTTGACCTCTATAATAAGGAAGGGCCTCATAAATCGTGTAGCCCCAATTCAATTTCCTTGTTTTCTTTTGTACTTTCTTTCTTTCTTTTTTCAAAGTACAGCGTTAAGTGAGAATACAAAAGCAAAGTTCCGTAAGGCCTCGGTTGGGAGTACATGGATGGTCACCTTAAACTGTTCAATTCGACGCCTCAATTTTTGTTTATTTACTTCTCTGTCCATAATGTCAACGGTATCTTCTTGACCAAGTTCGAAATCATCTACAACCTCGGGTGCATCCACTGGCTCCACCAGAATCTCATCCTCAACAGTCCTGCATAATTCGTCATTCCAAATCAGACTATCTTCTACACCAGCGAAATTTGAACATCCCTCATCCCTAGCACAAAATCATAGCCCTATCGTCCATATCATACAGGTCAATGAAACTATTTCTCCTCTTCAAGTCATGCCATCACGTCATTGTTCTCACATGCTAAAGCTCCTTTTCCACTACGATGTTGGCAATAAAGTATTTGCAAACAATGTGTCAACGCATCCCCACCAAGCCTTAATTGGCAATTGCATCAGAACAGATCTATACGTGAGGAAACAAAGCTGCCAAACCCAATGTGGTCACTGCAGAGGGGGGAATGGAAAAAGAAAAAGAAAAAGAATACTGCCAACAATGAAATCACAACCACCATCGAAAATTGGCACCCAAGACGATTGTAACGACCACCAAAAACAAGACTCACACCAATGATTAATCAGCGGGAGAAAGTATTAGCCACCAGCGCACCCCATCATAACGATCTTGGTGGTCAACTTGATGTTCAACTGCGACAAAAGCATGGAATCCACCGCAGGGGTGGCGCCCACCCTCACATTCAGCAGTTTCTGTCGCTTGGGCAGGACGTTGGTCAACTCGCAGATCCGGCGCTTCAACTCGCCAACCGTATCGTCGGCGCACACGCGCACCACAAACGTCCCGTTCCCCGACCACTTCACCATCATCGTCAGCTCCTCTACGCTCTCGGGATTACTCGTATCCCCTTGCGACGCCATCTCTTCAAATTCCTCCACCTCTTCTCCCTATTCCTCTGCCTCGCAACTCTGCTCTGCTCAATCCTGTCCTAAACCACAACCTCGAACCCTAACTCCAAGCTAATGATGAACACCCAACACGCCAAATGCAGGAGGTGGAGAGAAGAACTGGAAATGGGAAACAACTGAGCGATCTAGGTGGTGGGTGATGGTGGGTGGTGGAAATTGGTAGCGGTGAAGGGAGAATCTGCAAGCAATGCGGGAAAGTGGCTCAAAAACAAAGAAAAGGCACCGAAGCTGGTCCAAAACCCTAACAACAGAAAGAGAGCGAGAGAGAGAGTGTGTGTGTGACTGTGAGTGCACTGGACTAGGGCTTGGCTATACCGCCTCCCCTATTGCCGTGCACGGCGGGGACGGCATTCGATACAATGTATAGCACAATGAGATTTAATTAGTTGAAAATTCTAGAGAGCTTTCTACATTTCTTTTTTTCTTTTTTTCTTTTTTTCTCCATTGATAGAATGTCATTGAAAGATAAATTGGTTGTTTGAACGACATGTTTTATTACATAGAATGATGTGGTTTCATTCAAGAGTGATTGTTCTATTTTTCAATTTTATTTTTGGTATTTTTGAAGTGGTTTGTTGTATCCACAACATATTTGCATAAAAATGGTCAAGAATAGTTCTACAAATTTATAATTTTATTAATTGCATACATTCATAACTCTATATGGGACATTTCAGCAACAATCTCAAACAAGTTTTTCACCACTGTGATTGGAAAATAAATGATGAAGTAAATTACAATACGTTGATTTTAAAGAACAGTTCATAAAAATTATTTTTTAAAAAATATAAATATAATTACTAGGCACAAACTCATTTTTTATTCTAAAAGGGTTTTCATTTTTTTTTTCATGGTTTACCTTCTTTTTTATCTTTTTTTATCTTTTTTTTTTTTTTTTTTTGTGTAGTTCACATTTTAATTTGATGTTTTCTAATTTAAAAGTAGATGAATGAACTAATTAATGTTGCTACTAGTACAAATTAAGTATTTTATTAATTCTTTAAAAACTAAGATGTACAAATCATCCCAATTTTAGCTAATTTCACCTTCAATAAGTACAAAAATAATTTACAAGTTAATAATATGTTTACATTTATACTACTAAACATCTTAATTTACTTTTCAAGGGTGCATAAATTGATTTTATTTTTATTTTAATAAATTGAATCTTTAATCAATAGATTCCTTCATAATTTCTTCCGTTTTTTCTCATTTTGAATTTGATGGCATCATATTGGAGCAATATATTTAAATTCAATTTCTCACAATTGGCAAAGCATTTATCATTTTGTAGTTTCTAAAAATGGTATAAACAAGGATTATGAATGTTAATAGATCATAGCAATATTCTACCAACATTACCAAAAGTGTGTATGACTTCTATACAGTGCAATATGTTGCATTTTCAACGTTCTCCTTCTCAATTTGGATTTGATGAAATTTCAATTTCAAGACAATAGCTCAAATATTTTGCACTAACCAACTCATCACTCAAATAGGTTGTTAACAACATTTTTTGCACAATAATTTCACAAATACACTATATATAATACATGCATTTATATACAAAAAATAACTTAAAAGTTCGAATTAAAATGACATTAAATACAACCAAAAAGTAATAAAATTTCACATCTTTTTACTTATATTTTATTTTTATTTTTAATATGTACTAATATATGGCTTTTTTTCAGTTACTAAATAAACTGGATTTTTTTTACTTTAATTTTTTACATTTAATATACTATTATCAAAGTTGCCACGTTTGATCTTATTGCACAAGAACACACTTGATTGGGAAAAGAAAAAAAAAAAGAAAAAAAAGAAAATTTTAAAAAAATTAACCAATCTGCAAATGCAAACTTAAGATATATTATGTGCCTTGATTCTGAAGTTGTTTTTCATTTTATTTAATTATAAAATGTTATTCTGACAGTTTTATATTTCAGTCTATGTATATATATATATATATATATATACATGTATGTATATAATGCCATGATAAGAGATGCTTTAAGAACCAACACTCTTGGAACTGCATGGTAGAACTATTGATAAATCTTTAAGAAAATAAACATGTTTGTTCACTTTTTTTTGACCGTGGTGTTAACTTTTGTCTTTGTTCAAAAAATGCCTTTTTACATTTTCTTTTTGATTTTAGCATCATTTTCTTTCTATCAACATCATGTAGAAAGCATTTTTGACAACAAGACAAGACCAACATAACCTCAAAGAAAAAGAAAGCAACACCAATGCAAAGGTATATGTTCCACACCCAATTGCAAGCAACATTTTGCAAATGTGAATCATAGGCAATTACTTGCCATTCCCCGCAATAAATTTCAGGGATCCCAAAGCCAAGTGCATGGCATGTTATTGGTTCAATTTCAATGTGGACTTGTGCCATGGAAGAGTTCTCGCTTCCTTCTCGAGACTCCATTAACATTAACGAAAGCATTTGGGATTGTTCAAGTAGACCGAGCATTATTGGAATTCCGGTGACCACATTTTTCATGTGTTTTATTGATGGGCTGTAGTATCTTAACATACTTGCTTGTCTAGCCTTGTTTAATGAGTACCCACTTGAGGAGAAAGTTTTTGCTGCTACCTACACAAGCAAACATATAGGAATAGGAAATTTAATAGCAAAGCAAAATAAAAAATATGTTAGAAACTAATCAACAAATAAATAAACATTTTAATCTTATTAAGCTTAGTATGTGTATAAAATATATATATATATATATATATATATATAGATGCATACATATAAGAACCTATGGAATGTTGTATTAGAAAGTTGAATGTAAGTTTGTGTTTTGGGATTTTGTTAAGGAATGTGAACCTGAAACATTCCAATTTTGTAGTTGTGGGGTGACTCAGGGAGTGTGAGATGAACTATCACATGGAATACATAAGAAGTTGGAAATGCTTTTCTTTGGAAATACTTTACTTGGGAAATAACTTTTGATCTTTTCTAATACTTTTTTGAGTAAGAGATTCACAATGGGAATGGGATGTTCCATTATGTAATCAAAATTTAAAGTTCTTTTAATTACGACTTGTCCTCCTAAGAATCTTTTGGCAAGGTAGATATCTAAATCAAAGAAACTATGAAGCAACAAAGAACACAAAAAAATTAAAATGCATATTTTTGAGGTACCTCCATGTCTATACAACTCTTTCTTTGTACAAAACATATTGCAAGTATGCCCAAATGGATTTGGTCTCACTTTATCAATGTATATAATTATCACATTTTTTATCATCCTATACATTCTCATAGTTATATAAAACAAAAATTGTACATCCAAACCTATCAATTTCAAAACCAAAATAATTAGGTAGCTAATACATTGTAGAAGTCTAGAAATTGGACATATGATGGTATAACTTATTGGTCTAGGCTTATAAGAAGAGGTTTTTGGATCAACTTCAAAAGCCATTTTATTTTCATTGTAGTAACGTAGGATTGATTTGTCAATAGTGTAATACAACACATCTTTATTTGAGGTGTTTGAGGAATGTGAAAAGGGACTAATATTTTTGGCACATTTAAAAAAAAATGGCTTGTGTTTTTTCATCTTTTATTTCTAGTTTTGCTTTGTCTTCCAACATCATTGTAGAAGTTGGGGTTGAAGCACTTTTCTCTTCAACAATTTCAAATCCTTCAAAAGCACAATTAGATTTAATAGGCTTTTTTGATATCCATGTGGAAGTAGCTATTGATAATTTGTTCAGAGGACTTATTTCTAGAGATGCATTATCAAATGAACAGTTCTTAAATAATACATTCTCTATGTGTTTTGAAACATTTTCCAACATTTTTATGAGGTCATTTGTAGTTGGTGTTTCAAAAGCTTTGTGTTTAACTATACAAGGGGACTTATTTTGGCATGAAAAACTACCTAAATTTTCATCTTTACTGTTGTTGGTTTGAAATGCACCAATTGAATTATCACTTTCAGGTTTTGTGCCACACAAAGGATTGTTGTTAATATGATTTATTGTATCTGTAGACATTGAAGTAGGCAACCTTGAATCATTTGTAGACAAGGTTTGATGTATCAAAGTTGTTGAATATTCATACTCCAATATAGAATGCATGTATTCATTAAAGTTCTTTTACAAACAAAATCTTTGATATTACAAACTGCTACAAACTATTTTTCTTTTGATTTGGTTTTTTTCTTCACATCTGAAATGAAGCCCTAATTGGTTCAATTTTTAATATCTGATTTTATTTTTTTAGATAGTTTTTCAACATTCTTAAGTTTTATATTAAATATTTTTAATAAAACGATAAAAAAATTAATACATTCAGTATCTATATTTAAAATATTCATTTAAAAAATAATGAAAAAACAAAAAAATATTAAATAGTTTTTTATAAATATATGCACACCCATAACTCCAATACGAAAAATTGTACCATCATTTCTATTAAATATAAACACAAAAGAATATTTATTGCAATTGTTTGGACAAATTATACCATCATCTCTATTAAATATAAACACAAAATAGGTTCCTTTGGGCATGCAAAGTTCACAATTCTTTTCAAGATATGGAGGTGATGAAAGCAGAGTATTTGATATATTAAAGGTATCTATTTTCAAATTTTCATTGTTTGTTATGCTTGTTGAAATATTATCACTTTTGCTTCTTTCCAGACTTGGACCTAAAACCTTATGTGAACAATTTATCAAGTTTTGAGTAAAGCACAAACTCCTCCTAATTTTTGATGCATTGTTAGATCCCCTCACTTCTAAACATTACATTCATTGCACATGGATTACAATAGTAATGAGAAGGCAATTGTTTTTCTTGTATGTTTTTAAATACAAAAAAATTCTCATTGCTTTCTTTAGACTGTTGATGTTCTGTGCATGAATCTTGATGCGAGATGGATTTATGAAATTTGATATTGTTTGGTTCTAATGCTTCATTGCCGCTCACATAGTTTACTAATCTTTCATTTAATGTTCTCATATTTTCACCTCGTTTTTCACTATTTTCAATACAATTGTGTTGAACCAAAGTCTCTCCACTTCCATCTCTTTTAGCAAGTTGTTCCAAAATGTGTTGTATATCACAAAAATAAACTTTAACAATGTTACATTTTGAACCTGTGGATGGAAAGTAACCAAATTTTGAATCTTTTTGTGTTTGATTAAATTGGTTTTGCAATGGCTCATTTATAAAAAATGGTTCCGAATTCTTTTCACCACTGTCAAATTTGATTTTTTGGTGTGATGCAATTG